TTTTTTTGAGACAGAGTTTCACTCTTGTTGCCCAGGCTGGAGTGCAATGGCTCGATCTCGGCTCACCACAACCTCAGCCTCCCAGGTTCAAGCGATTCTCCTGCCTCAGCCTCTCGAGTAGCTGGGATTACAGGCATGCGCCACCACGCTCAGCTAATTTTGTATTTTTAGTAGAGACGGGGTTTCTCCATTTTGGCCAGGCTGGTCTCGAACTCCCGACCTCAGGTGATCCACCCACCTCGGCATCCCAAAGTGCTGGGATTACAGGTGTGAGCCACTGCGCCCAGCCTCTCCCTTTCCTCTTCTTTTTCTTTTTGGGCCTTCCCTTCTCTTTATCTGGGTCCTTTTAGAGATTCAGTCAGCCGATACTATCACTTATGCTATGTTGGTCCTATAGTCAGTCATGTAAGCAGATGTTAGTCCTATAGTCAGAGTCTGGCACAGGGAGTTGGAAGAGGGTGGGTCAAGAGAGTGAGAAAAAGAGAGAGGAAAAGAGAGAAAGAGAAAGTGAGAGTGAGCAATCTTTTGAATTATGTCCAGAAGCAGAATAGTGCTTATATTAGGTGCCCAGTAGATGTGGAATGAATGGGATAAGAGACAGGCTTTTTCTCATTTAGCATTATTTCCGCTTTCTTGCTCTAAAGAACAAGAAAGTTGGTGAAAGAATAATTTCAGCAGAGAAGGTATCACACTTAATCAAGGAGAAGAGAAGCTGTGTGGCTGGATACGTAAAGATGCAAGTGGCTGCCCTCAGCCTATTTCCTCTAAATTCAAATGAGAAATAGTGTAGTTAGTCATGCTTAGGGAGGAGAGGAATCTGAGAACATAGCTATAAGGATTCACTGTGTGACTGGATTTTGAGATTTCCTTCCCTTAGAGTTTTTCTCTGCTTCACATTCCTAGACTATTATAGACCAAGTCAGGGACATACGTAAATGGGAGACTGAAGAGAAGAACGGTTTGCTTTACTCTGACCTAGTTTGCATTTTTCTCTTCTTTCTTTCTTTATTCTCCAGTTTACTTTATTCTTCCTATTTTCACAGACAGGCAACCACTCTAGTATCCTCCTAGACTTCCCTGATTCAATATATCCCTTATACCTCTGACTCACTTCCAGCAATAACCTCTTAGGAACAGTGTTGTCTCCCAAGTAATTCTAATAATAGTGGACAGGAAGTATGTGTCCATCTGTGGGCTACCCTGATGTTTTAGAGGTGGTGATGAAGTGGTGAAAGGTGATGACTCAGCCAAGGCAGATTCCTGAGGGCGAATCCCTGTCTGGGGAAAGAGACAAAAGATTATCTAAGGCAAGGGAGAAAAAAATGAGAAATGGGATGGGAAGAGGGGAAAGAAGAATAGGCGTCAGAGAAAATCGGCCATGTTAGTGATCTGTCTGGTAGGTGAACCAAGGATTTAGGAATGAAATGTGAAAGGTCTCCATTGTATGGAGTGAATTATCAAGAGAATGGAATTAGCCAGGGATTAAAGCCTGTATTCTGTAGTATTCTGATGTGGCTCCATCCTCTTCAGGTTCCCTCCAGCTTCTCTCCCTAAGGGTTCCGGGGCTGTTTGATGAGTATGCTCATCTCCTCCAGGTCTTCACTTTGGGCAAATCTCAGTGGTCATGTGTTTTTTTGTTTTGTTTTGTTTTCGTTTTTCTGTTTAATCTGACCATGTAGACTGTCTCAGGAAAGCAATTTACAAAATACAGGCCTCTAGTGGCTCAAGCAGGAAAATATAGCTTCCATGGTTGATAATAGGGTGACAAGGCATTGTGGGACCTCACCTCCCAGGGACAGAAAATTAACTCACTGTAGCTCAAATTCTGCCTCATTCACAAGACTTTTGCCAAGTCTTCTAATTCCAATGTCGCCTCCTCTCTATACTTCCAGGATCTATGTTGAGCCCATATGACAGATCCCCAGTCCCTTATCTACAGTACCCAAATCTCTAAAGCTCTGAAAACAGAAAGTTTTCTTTTCAAAGTGGCCCCAAAACTCATTTAGATATGACACCTGACTAGACTGACAATGTGAGGCTATTTATCTTCTTTATTTATGCTATGTGACCATTACATATTTCACTGTGGTAATATCACTGTGTTTTGTTGTGAGTAGGCCCTTCTAAGAGTGTTAGTCATATATGATATAAACATACACACTTTAACATACAATGGTGCTTTTTAAAATCTGAAAATGTTGGCCAAAATGCATTGGCCCCAAAAGTTTCAAGTAAGAAATTGTGGGATCTATATATAACTGTTTAATTAGCCCTTAATTAATTTGAGTATACCATATATGATCCTAGTTAGGCCACTAGCATCTTTGTGGAAGGATCTGTATTATAAGTTTCTTCTATATTCTTCTTTGACACATTTATTAATCAATGACTGTCTACTTATTGGCCAAGGGATATCTCCTCTGCTGTTTGGAAGACACTCAAATATTGTCTTCAGAACACTCTGTACAAGTTTTTGGTCAGGTGTGGTGGCTTATGCCTGTAATCCTAACACTTTGGGAGGCTGAGGTGGG